GATATATTTAGAGCTCAATTTTTGAAGACGTACGGTGAGTTTTGTTGTACTAGTATAATAAAATCAGGTGATAACTAAATTTCTTCAATAACAAACAATAAATGTCATATCTTATGAATATAAATGTTAGGAATCTATATTCGGCTAACATAACCTATAAATCATTTTTGATTTTATTACAAAATCAATGATAACTAAAGTTTTTGAGTAAAGATTTGATCCTGACTGAACAATTTTGTTTTTGTAAAGTAATAATAGACAGGATATTCTGCCAAGATATCAATTATTAATCACTTAATCTATATATAATAGCAATCCTAAAAAAATAATATTTTTTTTGGTTACTTCTTGATTTATTTATAGTGGTTATTTTTAATAGTTGCAGTCTTGTCAAAATGTTGTGTCTTTTCGTAAAAAAAACCATTTGATGGTTATTTCCAAAAGTTGCACTTTTTCGATATAACCGTTTTGTCAAAAGTTGCGTCTTTTCGACATAACCGCTGTATAGTTATTTGTAAGGGTCTTGTCTTTCGAAACAAACCGTTTCGCCTATATATATATACTTTTTATCTCATTGGTGTAACCGTTTGGTGGTTACTTCCTACCATTTTCGTGTTTTTAAAATGTTAATATAACCGTTCCGTCAATAGTTGCGTCTTTTCTTAATAACCACTTGGTAGTTACTTCCTACGTCAATAGTCGCGTCTTTTCATGATAACTGAATGGTGGTTATTCCTAAAATTATAATTTTTAAAAAATAACCGTTCTATCAAAAAATCCGTTTTCCTATATATATGTTTTGATCTTTATTTTGTTCATCCTATTTTTTACTCGAAACTTAAGGCTTATTCAAAATGTCATTCTATTATTTTGCATTTATTTAACAATTTGGATATTTTTACCATTGAAGAAATTCCAAAAATTCTAGATTTGTTTAAAGAATTTTGGACTTCATTAGACAATGCTCATATTTTGGCGAATTTTAAATATAAACGACTAATGAAAATTCCAAATTTGTTTTTTTTGGAAATGGGTGGGG